TTTCGTTCAAATCAACCTTAATCTCGCTTCCTGATTTGAGTTTTCCTGACATGATATCCTCTCTTAGCCTCTCCACAATTCTAACAGTAATCTTCGGTCCAAAATCAGAAACCAAAAGCGCCTACATTGAATTATTCCCACTATTAGGTTTCAGGGAAACTCCATTTGCATCTGAAACCCAGAGAATCAACAATAATTCGAATTAAGATGGCTTTAAAATTAAAAAACCTCTTCCAATTCATCAAGAACTCGGTCTGTTTCAGCAAGATTCCAGAAGAGTAAGAGCTCGTCGATGACTGCTAGATTTTCCCTAGTCTTAGAGAATCCGGAGAAAACTTTCTCCACGTCGCTTTTGGCCTTCTCCTTAATCAACCGACCCAGCCGCGTGAAGAATCCGCTCGGTCCGGCCGAGCACCGGAACCGGGTCATTCGTGGACGAAATTCTCCTCTGAGAGAAAATAATCCGATCCGTTCGGAGGAGAACGGCGATATACGTCCGGCGAGAAACGAGAGGTGAGCAGAAGAAGTTGCCATGGCAGTTGTGCTAGAGAATCTGTGTAAGTTACTGACTTACTGGATAATAATCTTTTTTATACGCTGCGTTTTACGTTTCTATTGTTTCCCAATAATGAACCAATCTGCAAAAAAATGAATAATGAAAAACGCAGCGTTAATGCTTAATTTTTTGAAAACTATTAATTATAATTATAAATAAAAAAAAATCCTCAAATACAAATTTGTTTTGTATATAATAGATTACGTCTTTTTATATTCTATCTATCTAGATTACAAGTTTTATCAAGGATATGTTAGTAAATTAGTGAGAGAAAATAGTTAATCATCTACAGTTATCATTTTGAAAACTATAATTAGATATGTTTATATCTTACTTTGAACGATTTTCAAAGATATTGGAAATTTGAAATCATAAGATTTATCCTCAAACGAGCACAACAAGTAACTAGCAATCATTCAGCTACAATCACATCAACTATTTCATTCATTGATGGCGCCATTAAGCTTTGGTACAAAGTATGTATGTTTTAAAACCTACTACTATATTTGATTTCTTTTTCTTTTGCCTCTATTTCCCGTAGATTTCTCAAATGTCCATAGAACGACTTTAAGACTTGATCCAAAGGATGTAAACAAAGTCCAACAACTTCTTCACACGTGATTCAATTTTAACTCAAAAGTGCATTTGTGGCGAATACTAGTTTGACAATTTATATTTTGTTGGCAAACAATTTATAGGACTTCGCCTATTTTGATTATTATATACACCAAATTTGTTTGCTGAGGACGACCAAAAGTGAAGACTCCAAATTTGTTTCCTTAGGTATAACGTTTAACTTATCTTTTTCTCTTATGTTTCGCATTTGTCGTATATTTGGTACACCAACAGCCGAACACATTCATACAAGCGTCATAAACGTGACATAAGCAAAACGATGTCATGAACGATTAGATGGTATGTGGAAAAATGTTACTAAGACAATTTGCTGGTCTGTTTTCTTTAACGAGTACTTGAAATTACATATGCATGTACTACACAGTTATAGTACATACATGTGTTCCACACAAAAAATATAAATAAATCACAATCTTTTTTCCACAGAATTGATAATGTGGGTTGAGTTTTCCCATCAACGGATCGGATCTCTAAATTCAGTGGTTTAGACCTGACTTTATATATACATATCGTGTAAATTACTTTAGATTTTGGTTTGAGAGTCTCTAATTATAAAAGAAAAAACAAGTGGCCGATTATAAATTTCAAATCTGTTGAATTATCTAATTAACAATTTGCTTATTTTAATAAATATTTTTATTATTTTTGTTTTTGGTAGCCATTTTTAAATTCTATCTTCTTATATTAATAAGCACCGAGAAATACTTGGTGATTATTCTAATTTTTTATATTTTTATATGTATTCGGTCAAAATTTATAGATTTTTAACTCTATTACTCTATATTTAATGACTAGTACATGTTCTCCGTTTTTTGAATATCTGAATTGGCATTCTAAAAAAAAACACTTACAATATTCGTAAACCATACCTTGTAAGTTAGAATTAGCAATTCCATTCCCGCTATCCACCAAAAACGGTATAAGAAAGAACTAGTAGATATTGACCTAGATTGACTGTATACTTTTATCAAGTCAACACGACAACATTGTAGAAAAAGTACTACATAGTTGATATGAGTGCCTAATCCATGTGCCATGAAATAACTGGGCAACAAACAACAAATTTCCAGAAACAGTCTGTAATGATTTATTCATCAGTACTGCAAGCTAAGCCCATCGGTCATCTTGGGTCATATGATAATAGACATATAATAATATCTCGCAAAAATACATTATAGAGTGAGCGACCACATCGTTGCAGTTTTAAACTATTGTTACATATATGAACATTTCCACAGCTATTTAGCTTAGCTCACGACACGATGCTGCTGACATATGTAATTTACAATGTATAGCCATGCATGCATGTGTTTGTTGGCCAAGATTTTTCAGTTTTTACCTTTCCCAGCTATTACCTACATCCACTTTGAATTGGGATAAATCACGTAACTACGACTACAATACCAATTTGTATTAATGTAATTAACTGTTACGTCAAAATAATTGATCAAAATTATATATATTCGCAAATGTGAGAAAGCGCGGCAGCGGCTCTAGTGTGTTCTGGGACGGTAAGTTGTTCTTCGTGCAATGCCAATGGCCATTGCAGCTTTTCGTGTTAACGAGGGGGTTTAATTGCTCCTTAAATGTTTCAATCACTATATGATAAGAGCACGTTTGTTACATTAGTCTCAAAAGTGAAGATAATACGATTAATTTATATATAGTCTGTTACATTTTGTGATAAAATTGTTATTGAAATTATTAACTGGCTATGGATCACAGGTTTTAAAAGTCGATTATTTTGGTGCAGACAAAAAAAAAACGCGTCCCGTCGACGTTTGGCAAGAATGATGCAAAAAATACCTGAAACTTCGTTCGAATTGTCGCCACAGTTTCCTTCAGAAACAAGTCAACTTAATCGCTTGTGTTCGACACGTGCCGTATCAACGACTCCATTGACTTTTCCCAAAACATTACGTACACAATTGTATTCTTCAAGTTACTACTTTCATAATTCTGTTCAAACTAAGGTTCTAATTTCGTGAATGCATGCGTATTATAACAAATTGCACTTGTTGACAAAACTTTGTATAACAAAAAAAGACATCCGTGAAATTTCTAAGGCCTGAGAGCCTTTCTCTTCTTTCTTTCTTTTTCGGAAAACAAAAAGTATTTGAACAAAGCGAATATGAAGATGTCTTTTGTAGTGGAGAGGCGTCTATTCTTTGGAAAATGCTACTGAATAATCTTTTAAAACAAACCATTAATAATTCTGACTTTAAGGAAATTAAGCAAATAAGTTAATTATGTAGTCATGTCGTCATCAAATCAAATTAATAACACGCATCTATGTAGTCACGCCGCACACCACCGTTGATCATGCCACCGGCCAAAGCATCGAGGAACCATCCGATCGACCACGTCATTATTCCTATCTATTTTATTCCATCATCCCCTGAGAAAAGCATGGAATTATATTTTATGTAGAAATCAAAATTCAGAATAAAAATATATACCCGGTCCGTTACGTGATAAGAAAAGAATATATACCCGTTAGGATTAAAAAATTTAAAATTGTACAAACGGTCTAGTGTGAGAAAAATACAATTTAAACCAAAAACAAAATGTGAGAAAATAAATTTTGTTTGCACTTTCCGAGAAAAAAAGATACTTAGAACAAAAAAAATAATAGAAAGTGACTGGAAACAACTACGAAAAGGGACGGTGTTCCTCAGTCAATTTAGCTAAGCTATATAATATAAACTCATCCTCTCTAACAAATCTCACGAAACGAAACAATAAGGAATCTCCTGCAAAGAGGATTAGACTTATACATATAGAAACATAAAACACACAAAACACACCATGTCGTATTCAACATTCAAAAGATCACTGGAGATTGAGGTAATCTCAGCGGAAGGACTCAAGGTAGATCGAAAACCATTGAAGAAGAAAACATACAGCGTTGTGAGAATCGATGAGAAATCTTGGGCTTCCAAAGTGGATGAACTAGGAGGGAGTTATCCAATTTGGAAAGATAGATTTGATATGGAGATGCCAATAAGCGCAAGTGTAAGGTTTATATCCATTGAGGTTTACTATCGCACAAGTGGTAGTGGGAGGGACAAAAACGTTGGTTACGCCAAGATTCCGGTGACGGATTTCATGGGAGGTTTTGCTCCACAAGGGCATTTGAATTTCTTGAGTTACAGGTTGAGAGATGAGTATGGTGACAAATGCGGAATCGTCAATGTGTCTATCATGGTGAAACCTGACGGTAATGATCATAAATCATCGTTGCCGTCGTCGTCGTTTGCGGTGGCTCCGGTGGATTATGCTGCGTGTTCTTGGCAAGCTACGGCGGCGGCGAGGAATAATCAAATGTGGAGACCGAGGACATCTTCATCAATGGTTTCGACTGCTGGTTATGGTGGTGGTCGTGTAGTCACCGGCGTTCCTGTTTGGTGTGCGTATCAACGGCCGTCTTAATTTTTATTTATTTTCTCGTATATATGCATGCACAGATTTATCTTTGATGTTTTTTGTCATATTTTATTCCATAAATAAACGTTTGATTTATCATTGATTAATCTAACAATTTTAAATGAATAAAATAAATAAAATCCATCTTTAACTTACAAGTCTTCTGAGAATTAACGCTTCAACAATCAAGATAGAAACAAAAAAAGTTCTAGCTTTGTATCAGATTATTTTTCTGAAATAATAAGACTAGTCATGAAATCTCCCATTTCCACTACAATGCATTAACTATATAAGTTTTTGTTTTCAGCTTTTAACAAAAACAACTAGTCGTCTGTGATTCTATCACTTTGATGGAAGCCCGGTTCGACATGCGGGAGACGCGTAGCTATTATGAAAATTGAGCATAAATGATGGATTTGGGTCCATCAGAATCGTTTGACATAAAGACGGGATAGTTGAGCATCTAAGCTTCTTCTTTTTATTTTCTTCTCATTTTCTGGTTGAGATAGTGCTTGAAAAACCATGTAATTAGCATCCTAATAATAAATAATCATCTTTATTTATCAAATGTTTTTATTATATGACCAATCCAAATAACACATTTTTATCCTACTTCTTTTTAACATAGTCTTAAAATTCAAGTCAATTTATATATGTTGGTATTAAATGACCAAACCAAACAACTAATTTTAACAAATTATCAATAATTGTTTTCACCAAAAAGGTGAGACTTTTTATTTTTAGAGGTTGGAGTTTGCATGATCATGTTCTTCATTTTTTCTATATAATTTGGTTTATAATGAGTTTTGTTTGAAATTGTAGATGCTCAATCTAGCTAGGAAATCAACATTCTTTCGACAAGCAGCCAAGAATATCACTCTTGCTGTGAACGAGGTTAGTTCCTCAACTACTCGTAGGCCATAAAAGACTTAGATGGGTAATGGATGACATATATGTTTGTACGAATTTTGCTTTAACCTTTTAAAAAAATCTATTTGATTAAATTTTCAATGTAATATCATCGTTCTTTTACTTTATTTTATTTTGGCTCAAGATCCTACTCAAATGATGAGAAACTCCCTCTCACAAGGCAATACCTCAATACCAACAAGCCGTTACTCAAGCAAACATTCGAACGAGCATACAAGATACCCCAGCGGAAACCCAAAGGTAGGCGACCTATCAAATTTCTACCCGCTGATGGCCTATACATCGAGAGGGGTTTGAGAGCCATTAAGAAGAAGTTTGAGATGCCTGGCGAGATCACAACAGACATTGACCAGAACGGATGTGAATTTGTTCTAGTATTTGGATATGACCGAAATCAATGAGCTAGATGAGAACGGGGAGAAGAAGAAGGTTCCTTGCACCTATTACCTAAAGTATTGATAATTTGATATGGTTTGATTTTCTTATAAAGTAGTGATAGCTTTCAAACAAATTTTTTATTTTTAGCTCTTTTGCTTTGTAATTTTTAATAAACTTGAATCATGTTAAAGAAAATTACATAATCATAAATACAGTGGATCATCATCATATGATAATAATAATTGATCTTTAACATACTTGAATTATAAAAAGAATTATGTAGGCAGCCCCAACTAAAAGGGGTAGAGCAGAGGTGGGCAGGAGGTCCATACGTTTTGTAAAAACCAATCGATCTGGAAAACTATTTTTTGTTTATTTCATAAGACAAGAATAATGACAACAATTATTGAGAATTTATTGTTGTATAAAAAATTGAAAATCAAAAAAAAAAACATTGTAAGAAAAAAAAAACTCAAAAATCAGGAGAGAGCACTAGTGTTGTTTTTATCTTCATCAGGCGCAGGAACGGTCCAATACTGTTTCACCGCATAGTAAATCTTCTCTCTTTCATGAGGACCCTTCTCGTGGTCAGCAATTCTACCTTCCCATTCTAATCCTTTGGTTAATTCCTTAACCTTGATCAAAACGTCCACGTCATCTCTTATAATCACACCACCACCCGGTCTAAGAATTCGGTCCATCTCCAACAATATCTCCTCCGGTTCACATTGACCTTGGTACAATGTGAAAACCGAGTCAGCATGGATAAAATCATACGTTCTTGGATACGTCGACATGGCTTCACACCTAACAAAAAAGAAGGAAAACCGAGTAAATCATATCCTTTCACAAGAAAAATTCCGGTTTAGTTTAAGTTTGGTTTAAACTTACCAGTTTTGATACGTTCCGATTAGACCACGCTCGTAGATGACACCGAGCGTATTGAGCTTAGCCTCGACCGGGACAACGTTCATGACCCAGACCGGATCATCCGCTAGAGCCGCCGCGAATCCACCGAGGTAAGCGTTCATGTCGACTAAGTTTCTGTATCTCCCGGTTTCACCCAACTGGTAATCTAACTTCTTGTAATAAGAAACTCTCTGTTTCCACAGTTTCGTGTTCTCCAAGAAAGCTTCAGGTGTGATTTCCTCGAGAGCGCCTTTGTTTACTCTCGGAGGAATCGCGTTTAATCTAGCCGGCCACTTTTCTACCTTCCCTCCGGCCACCGTCTTTAGATCCTCAGCGTCATCAACTTCAGGTAATGGTGTCAAACAAGAATCCATCTTCGTATACCTGAATCATTCCAAAATTTATAGCCAAATTCTAACATTTCTAAATCTTAGATATAGAAACTGATTGATTACCAGGCCATGTCGGGATCTTGATCATGACGACAAAACTCCGGATTTTTCAAAACCTCTCTGGTTTTCTTACAGTCAATGTGGTTAAAGGGTTTTTGCCAAATAGCAAGATCATCTCTTTGAACAACTTTCTTCCAACACAAGCTTCTCGCGACCTGCTCGATCTGAGTCTGCTCTGCATTCAAATCATCCATGGTCCGTTCCCACCCTTTCCACCGTTTCTGCCAATTAATCGGCGGTCCAGAAAGTATCCAGTACCCTCCTGGTCTTAAAACCCTATCCACCTCCATCAAGTAAGCCCCATCTGCAACACAACACAAAGTGTTAGAACTCAAAACTCAAAAGGGAGTAATCTCCTACTTATTTAGGGTTTAGAGTCGAACCGTTTTGGCCCCACGGAATAAGGCAACGAGAGCAATGTGCTAAATCAAAGGCTCTAGAAGGGTACGGTAGGCGGATTGTAGCCATGATTCCGATCATCGCCGGCACACCACGCTCGAGTGCGAACTGGACTTGAGCTTCGTGTGTGTCTCTTGGTGCAAATGACATCGTTGTAATGTTTCTTGATAAAAGATATGCACCGAAGCTAGCCACCTGAAAAACCAAAGACACATTTGATTGATCACACCAATAAAACTCAAAAAGACATATGGTTTTCTTGTTTTGACAAATGAAGTCAAACTAAGAGACAAGAAAATATATTCTTCATTTTGACTCAACTACTAGTTTATTTTTTCAACTTTACAGGTTTAACGGTAGAGTATGAGTAGGTCAACAGTGACATTAGACGATTAGGTGACTTTAGTGGGTCACACTCAGAAACCAAAAATGTTGAAACAATATGCTTTCATTTTTAACATTGAATCTACAAAATTGTGATGCACTAATTCCAAATTTTAATTATTGTTCACTTATATGAGAGTAAACTAATCAAATGGAATTTAGATTAGATATGGATATGCATGAATATATCTTTTTAGTTAATATTTGACGTCCCAACAGATTATTCGATTGAACAAATCGATGACGGAAAATCTTCTATTTTTTTCTTTATTTAAATTTGAAATATAATAAAATAAAGATTACGAATATGCATAATAAAATCGAACCGGGTGGTTCGGTTTAATTAGAGTGAAGAGAATTTTGAACGTACCCCGCAACCGGTATCGATGGCTGTACGGATAGAGCCGTCGCTGAGATCAATCAACCGTCCGATATCATCAATGTAAGCATCAGCGCCACGTGGAAACATCGTACCTCCACCAGGGAACCAAAACCGATCATTCTCGTACCGGACCCAATTCTGATTCTTTTTCTCAACCGTAAGCTCCGTGTGAGGCACATTAGCGAACCACGCCACGTCACGACTCGCCGGCCATCGGAACGGCGTTTTGTAACCGTACGGCGCCGGAATTCTGCACTTCAAGATTTCTTCTCTCTCGGGACAATGCCTTTGCCTATACTCCAATCTCTCCCTCGAGAATTTCAACGATCGCTTCGCGTCTTCGCACGGCGTGTGCTCGCTCAACGCGGCGGCACACGACGGGAAACTAACGGCGGTTTCCGTCACCGGAGGTGGATCTTGAATGTTGTGATGCGCGTCGAAGTCGAGATCTTTCGTAGAATTAGGTCTGGTGAATCCCTCGCACGGTGTACCGTCTGAATCATCGAAGGCGGCGCGTGGATTAACCGCCGTGTTTTGCCAAATACCGAGAAGGTAGCTAGCGATGCAGAGAAGAGCAACTAGGGTTACGTAGTAAAGATTGGCCTTCTTAGTCCGAGATGAGATTCTTGTAAATAAATTCATCTCTTAAAGAAAAAAAAATCAATCAATCAATGGTAGAATTTTTTAGAAACCAAATTGACATATATTTATAATAGACACAACGATGAAAGAATCGAATGTGTGACGAGTGAAGTTTTCAAGGGTTGATATGAAGTGGTTCGATGGTGTAATATAAAGGGAAGAGAGAAAATAGAAGCGAGTGTTAGGTACGCGCTTTAAGGTCAAAGGGTCAATGAGTTTTAATTTTATTTTTATGTATTCGTGAGAGATTAGGCTTAAAACGTGCGAGCTAGTCATAGGCAACAATGGGGAAATTATTTTGTTCAAAATATTATTCTTTTCCATTTTCAGCGAATTATTAGATTTTTTCTTTTAGAAAATTAGGAAAATTAAGGATTTTGTAGTATATTCATGCATTGTATTATGAGAAATATATCTTTTATTCTTTTAACATTGTTTTAAAAAGAAGTAAAATTGATTTGAGAATCCGCGTTTGTGAAAGTGCACGCTCCGGTGAAGCGAGTGAAGGTTGATACATAGGTGATGAGGGGTCCGTTTGGGTCCTTTGGATGCAAAGAGACGCAATCCCAATTGCACTTTTCACCGGTTCGAACCAATTTTAATACTTAACCGAAGCACTTTTTGCTCACACCGTTTTTAACTGATATTCTCTGTTGCTCTGTATATACGCCAGTTATGGGAATGTAATATGCACTTTTTTGGGGGGACACTGGACAGAGGAAGTTTAAACCTTGCGGGATTGTGAAGAAATCCCAAAGAAGCAATGTATATTGCCATTGGAATCGTAAAAGGCAGTGAGAGTTTGGTTTGCGTTAATTGATCCAAACAACATTTTGTACCTTACACAGTTACACCTAACCTAAACAATACCCATGACATTGGACTGGAAACATTTGAAACGAATGGAACCGAAGTGATTTTATCGAACTTAACTCAAGTTTACAAATTAATAATTATAACAGATCTTAATGATAAGTTGTTAAGATTATCCAGGT